TTATAAAAATAAATTATAGGTGGAAAATGAAAGGAATAGAAGAAGAAAATCAGAAATGAATAAAGCAAATCAGAAGATTTGTTTTTCTTTTTGCAATTACTAATTATAGTGATACTATAATTTTAATTTCTTTTATTTACTGATGTGACTTGATTTTGAGGTAGTTATTTCTATAAAATAAATTTAATTATGTTACGACCTCTATAATTTATATTTATGATTGATTATAATTAATTTGTTCCTATTTTTGCATTTACAATGATATCGTTCATTAATATGATTAAATAACTTTTGCATAACATATAATAAAATTCTTTAAAATCGAAAATAAATAACATTAATGATTTCAAATATATGAAACAAATTTACATGAGATAGAAAGCTACATTGTATATCATACATTCTATCCTCCCCCTTATCCAACCGTCTATTTTTAATGGAGGGCTAAGATTGCCCCAATCACAATGTCACGTCGCTACACTATTTTGATTTTAATTTTTTCTATAAATTATTTTGACACCAAATTTTAGACGTCCATTCCTCTATTAAACTCGCACTAACGAAAAGTATATATAAAAAAATTTCAAAAAATTAAAATATCCAAAATACCCCTGAAAGTTTCAAGGGGTATTTTGGTCATTTTTTATCAAAAAATTATTGATAATATTTTTTATAGGTGAGTTCCAATGAAAAGATAGCATGTACCAAATTTCATATTCAGAAAATTGGTATTAAAAAAAACTAAAAATAAAATACTTTGAGATGTCTAATCTAAGATTAAACGGTGAGTGGCTCTCTTAATAAAAAATGGACGGCTCTATCGTAGGGGGAGGATAGACTTCTATGTTGTAGGGAGAACATAGAAATATTTCCCGAGAAAAAGTAGGAAGGAGAAAGATGAGAAAGAAATATGGGAGATATAAATTTGGGAAGGGAAGAGAGATGAATTTACTTAAATTTGGGGGAGAGAGAAAATAATGAGTCACCACACTAAAAAAAGAGTTACATAGAAGATAAGGTGTCATCATGCTAAATAAAAGAGTTACCTATTTTTATTCTTTGCATGCATATAGGGAGAGAGAGAGAGAATGAGAATGAGAATGAAAATGTAGAAATGTAAGAGAGGAAAAGATGAGTAAATGAAGTTTATTTTAATTGGGGGGAGAGAAGATAAAGTGTCGTGTCATCACACAACCAAAGGAGTTATCTATTTGTATGTATTTTCATGCATGTAGTGGAGAGAGAGAGATAATGGAGAAATGTGGGAGAGATGGAGAAGAGATGAGATGTTAGTTACTTAGTTGTATATCACAACACCAAAGGAGTTGCGTATTTATATGTATTTTCATACATGTAGGATGGAGAGAGAGAGATAATGGAAAAACATGGGAGAGATGGAGACAAGATGAGTGTTAGTTACCTATTTGTATGTATTTGCATGCATGTACGATGGAGAGAGAGAGATAATGGAGAAATATAAGAGAGATGCGAAGAAAAATAAATTGAGAGAAATAAAAAAGAGAAAAAATTGAAATGTGGTAGGGAGATAGAGAAAAATTGAATGAAAAAAGATACGTGACGCGATAATAAGAGGGGTGTTGCTCTCGCTTAATATATAATAGATAAATAGATAGATAGATGCAACAACAAATAAATGAGCAAACCATTAGTAAATTTTTTAAAGTAGACAATTATTATACTTACATCTACCATACCTTTGTGTAATCGTGAATGTGTCAAAGCACTTGTACCATTGTCTAGGAGACTTCTTTAGCTTACAGACATGTTCGTCTTTGCTTTTAACTACAAATCTTCCAGGTTGATTCATATAAATTTATTCCTTCAATAATATAATTATGACTAGTAATACCTGAATAGAGGTGTGCTTTGCAACTAGAGAGAATATCCCATCATAGTCGAGCCTAATTTCTATGAAGCCATGAAGCTTAATTTCTATGAAGCCTTGTTAGATCACATTAACGCTTGATCTTTGCATTTAAGAACTTCCAAACAAGTTATCAAACAAGTTCTAGAACTTCTAGATATCAAGAATTACAACTTCTAGGAACATAGAACTTTCTGGATGTACAGAATCCCCAGCTTTTAGTTACCTAGTGTCACCAGAGTTTTATTTTCACCATGTTTCTAGATAAGGAAAATGTTTTGATAGAGCTACAACCCTATGAAAATAAGTAAAGCCTCACCTCAAAACTCACTTAAATTTGCAGTTCTTGCATCAAAAAATATTCGAATAACTCATCTTAGCCTTAATTATGTGGTTGTGGAAAAAAAAAAAAAAAAAGATTTCAAGCCCTAAAAATAATGTATATTGTACACTATCTAAGCTGTTCCTTTTGCCCTAAAAGTAAGTGGTCACAGATCTTGCAGATTTGTACTTTTTTTTTAGCATCAAAAGATAGTTTGTTGAAAATTGATTTTCAGGCATCATGGAGATTTTATATGCCCAAAGTACTTTTTGGACAAGATTTCTAAGTGAGGCTTACTTTGTTTTCATAAAGGCTAGGCCTTATAAATATTACATCCTTCTAGATAATACTAAATAATAAAGAAAAGGGTACCTTAGAGGCCTATTCCCATTAGACTCTACAAGAAGCCATCAAGTGGAGCATCTATTGAAGCCTTTGTTATTGTTACATTAACTTGACACACTTGACTCCTAGAAAGGTCAGCACAGTTTGTGCCTAAATACTTGGGCGCAAGTAAGGTATTAGTACCTAAAAAGCAGGACTCAAGCTGTGGATTCCATGGTTCCGAGCTCAAGTCAAAGTTTTACTTGGGACTGACCAACTCTGTAGGGGCTAGATGAAAAACATAAAGAAAATTTTCGCTTACGTCAAGATTTGCTTCTTTTTTCTATTTTTTTTTACCATATCCGAAAATTTATTAAATAAAACAAAATGGAATTTGCATCCTCAGAAATAACCAAAACATCCACCTCAGCTCCCTTTTGTTTTTTTTGTTTTTTCCAAAGAATCAGCTAACATATTTCCTTATCTAAATATATGTTGAAATGAGACACCTAAGGAAGAAGATAAATTCATAACTTGCAACCATAATTTCGAAGGAACCGTAAACTCCCTTTTGCACTGCATAATAGTATTTAAAAAAGGTGCAGTTGGCATACGGATGCATCCGTAGCCGTAGAGGTAAGATGCACTTTTAAATTTTATCATGTTATATAATTTTGATGTAAAATGTTTTTAGGATTATCTCAAAATCTATTTTTATAAATCATAAAATTTTCAATTTCAAAAATGGTTAAAATCAGGTAGATCTATAAACATATAAAAATCTTGAAAATGGACGGTGTAGATATTATGTTGTAAAATACACTATTTATGAGACTTAAAATCTTTTTAGTTTTCATGGTTATACATCTCGATGTCGAGATAATCAATCAAAAGATTTTTCAACATTAAAACTACCTTTTTTGATAGATTTTTGAGATGCATCCATATTTCTACATTACAAGATTGCATTCTTATATAAACTTTTTCTTTTAAAAAATCACCCTCGACCTTACACATACACAGTTGACCCTCTATAACTTGCAACCATAACTGATGAAGTTTTGAAGGCAACACGTAATAGTATTTAAAGAGTCACCCTCGACCATACATAGTTGACCTCTAAATCTGTCGTTAATGATATTGAGGACTTGTAAAAGCAACCTAAACTCATTTCAGCCCAATTAGCAGTAGCAACTCCCCGCAAGAAAATAGTCACATTCCAATGTCTGACCACTCCACCGACCACACATGGATTACCAATTATTCATCCAGACTCCACACAACTACCCGCAAAGAGAGTAGTCCCATTCCAATATATGACCACTCCACCCGCCACACATGGATTACCAATTATTCATCCAGACTCGGCTTGCTATGCCCCGAGTCTGAGCTCGAGTAAGCTGTTTTCTAACTATTGGTTTGGATCAGTGATGCAGCCGAGTGAACCGGCCTATAAAAATCTAAATAATTAGAGAACAAAAGAATTGAAAAAATATAAAAAATAAAAAGTGGGTCCGGTTCAATTAGAGAACCAGGCAGAACCTGCCAGTTCTTAATTAGGTATTTTGACGGAACAGGACTGACCCTATTGGTTCCCGATCCGAACCACCTAGTTCTGTTCCGTTTCGCCGTTTTTTTAAACACTAGATAAGGTAAATGTTTCTATACTTCCTCTACAATAATATCTATGCTTCTCCTACCATCCAGCCGTCAAATTTTGATCAAGAGAGCCACTTACCGTTTGATCTTAGATTGGATAAGTTTAGTATTAACATCATACTCATCCAACAAATACAAAAATAAAAAAGAAAAGCTCCTTCAATGTCTTTAACATCATACCTATAAGTCGAAAAATATAAAAAAGCTTGACAACCGGATCCCCCCATAAATTTGGAAAAAATATAGAGTCCGCACATCATGTATCTCTAAAAAGGATGTTGTATAAAGTGCATCGACTAAAACTAATATGGAGGGTGTAAAAAATATCCTCAGAAAAAGCACATCTTGGATTTTCACAAATTTTTATTTTTTCTATTCATGATTACCTTTGCCTAGAAAATGAATACTGGGAAAAAATGGTTACAAAATCTATTTTTAAGATAAATTTTAGAGGGGGAACGCATAGAAACCCAATCCTTATATAATGAAAAATATATAATGAAATAATTTATTTTTAGTACAAAGTAATCATAATCACTATTGTCTCTCAAAAATATATAAGGAAACCATTTGTTTTAATACAAGGTAGTTATAATCACTATTATCCTTAAATTTTGAAAATTTTGATTGTAAGTGTATCATTGAAGATCCAAAGTTAAAAGAAAATTCTTAACACACCTACAATATCCAATTTAAGAGGCTAATAATGATTGTGAGGTAAATGCTCTCATAATATACAGTCTTTACCCTGAATGTTTTTCGGCTTTTCCGTAAATTTTCCTTTATTATTAACGTTCCCCGTAAATTGGAACTTCTGTACAAACTCTCGATATTACATAGCAGGGGGATGTCAAAGGTGTTTTCTCTTCACCGTTCTCTTGTGCTCGCTGGTTATTGCGGCAGTAGCTGCTTGCTTAAAGGTTCTCTCTTCTCTCTTACCAATATTCGATTTTCATCTGTTGCTTCTCATCCTGTTGTTTGTTCTTCTGCTCTGCAAGTGATTATGTGACTGTTCTCGAGAAATTGAAGTAAGCTGTTACTGATTACTCCCATTGTTTGTTTTATGTATCTCTGGTTTCATTTAGGACTCTCTTCTGTTTTGGATCTTGTTAGTTCTTTCCTATCGGACTTCCATGGGATGGTGTGTAAGTTCCATTGAAAATTTTGGCAATTGATGATTACTCTCACACTGCATACATAAAAAGTACAAGAAGTATTGCCACTAAAACAGATGTGTGTCAGCTCTGATCTCAATCCATGGAGAGAGAAACAGAGAGAGATTACATAAGGGGATTGTGAGGATGCACAGGTCGGTCTGTCATGTACTAGTACAACCGTAGTGACAATTGTCTCCGAGTTGAATGTATCTTTTTTATCATGAGAAATTCTGATGCTGTTGCTGATAATAACTCTGATAATGTCCAGTTAAATGAATTTATCATCACATTCTATGGCCTCCCATTATTATCATTATAAAGAACTTTGCCAATGATTTTGAAAGCAAAATTAGCAATTTGAGTTTGAAAGAAACGTGTCATTTACCTAAAAATAGCTCTATTACCTCAATAATGAATATGGGAATTTGCGAGGAGTTGATAATGGATATGTAAGTTGAAGCAATCAAGCTGGATAATGATTTTGTGATAATTTTATTTGATACATTAAAAACAAATTGTCTACTTTTTCATTGTTAAAATTTTGACATATTTATGTTTTTAACCCCATGTAATTTCATATTTATTAATCTCCATAAAATTTTATTTTGTAAGAAATAATATAATAATTTAGAATATTTATTTCCAGGCATATCTGATAAATACCTGATTAAAAAGACCAACACAATGGTTTCTTGATAAAATTCACCACCGATAACGTCTCGGTACTAACAATTGCCACCAACTTTACAATTACAGATTCTAGAATCGAAAAATTTCATTGTACAATAAACAAAAGAAGCTACCGATGCTATTCTCATCAATATTATACACCTTCCTCTTAGTTGTGGTGTGCATTTTTCTATATTCTAATTTGCTTTGTACTCACTGCATAGTACCATTTACTTTCTCATCCTTTTATGTAGATTCCATAGGTTCAAACAGGGGAACTGGTGAAATCTCCGACCATCATCTGTGTATATATGATTGGTTTTTGGTGCATAATTTTTGGTCCTTGAATGGGATTTTAAGAGACGACGAGAGATATATGCTGGTCCTTTCAAAGGGGTAGTGAATGGTATGTGTTTTGGATGGTGGTGCTAACATGGGGATCTGCAATCTTACACTAATCATATAGTACTAGAAAAAGAAAAAGAAAAAGAAAAGATAATAAACGTTTCATTAACCTAGAAATAAAATGAAATTGGCAAATCCACGATCTATAAACAAATGAGCGAAACAAAAAATTGTCATATTCTGGATTCCGTTCAGCTCTTTGAACATCATTTACCCAATATCCAAGATCACGAATTCATATCGAAAATATAAATCAAATACAGGATTTGTTTTTCTGGGGAGGCATTCATGCATTAAAGCTCTTAAAAATCAAATTGAGAAAATATGCATAATTTGACCAACTTAATCATCCCAAACAAAATTAGGTAATACAAAGGCATCTAAAAACTACAAACAAAACCTGCAATTTGACAAGTTTCACAAATGCTTTTAGGAAGAGGTTTATATTCTCCAAAATTCTAATTGACCACTGATTCTCATTGGTAATATGCCAGTGGAATCCAGTAACTCCATATCTTTCCCAAAACGAACCCATCTTTTGATAGCAACAAACAGAGATAGTTCAATACAATGTTAAAAAACAAGGCTAGACTTGGGACTCAGCAAAGTCACGGGTTCCAGTCGTCCATATAGACTAGGCCGAGTTTGTCAGTGACTCAACCATGTCTATACAAGTTATAATATCAAAATGTAGGAAGTGGTCAAGTTTGGATGGTTCCTATTTGGACATGGCACCTTGCAGAGTCCGAGTAACTCGGGTGAGGCCACTCACACTGGCCCGAGTTTTAGAACACATCCAAATCATGATTTTGTAATTGTGTGAAGTCTGAACCATTTGAAGTTAATGGCCTAACTGCTTCTGCAATATATCATGCTAGAGTCAATAAATCACACTGAGAGAAACCAATATACTCATAATTAACTTTCATATTTTTCTACATTATTAGAAAATTGAACATATTGGGTTGGTGCAAGGAATCTCTAAACCCTAAAGCTTAGTTATTAATGTGGTCCTTAAAAATTTATTTTGTATGAAATAATATAGTAATTTAGAATATTAAATTCTAGGTACTTATCTGATAAACACCAAATTAAAAAGACGATCACAATGTTTTCTTGATAAAATTCACCACCGATAATGTCTCGATACTGTCAATTGTCACCACGTTTACAATTACAGATTCTAGAATCGAAAAATTCCATAGTACAATGAACAAATGACACTACAGATGCTATTCTCATTACTATCATATCACCTTCCTCTTAGTTGTGGTGTGCATTTTTCTATATTCTAATTTGATTCGTACTCACTACATGGTACCATTTGCTTTCTCATCCTTGTGTCTAGATTCCATAGGCTCAGACCTGGGAACTGGTGAAATCTCCGACTATCATCTGTGGATATATAATGGGTTTTTGGTGCATAATTTTTGGTCCTTGAATGGGATTTTAAGAGACGACAAGAGATGTATGCTGGTCCTTTTGAAGGGGTAGATGGTTGTGCTTATGGTGTGATAAATGCGTCTTTCCTTTTTTCCTTAGGTGAATGGTATGTATTTTGGATGGTGGTGCTAACTTGGGGATCTGCAACCTTACACCAGTAATATAGTACTGACTAATCTCCTAGAGGCAATGTTCATGCATGTGTGCCACTTCACTTTTAGTAAGTAATTACATTCACTTTGATAGAATTGCTTTGTTGGAATGTGATAGAATTGATGGTTTCATGTGGAAGTGTGTCTGAGTATATAATTTTGTTTATTTTTCCTATCTTGTTCAAGGTTGATACTTCCTATTAAATATTTATGTTATATGTGTTGACCTTGGGCACTAAATACCTGGTGATTCCCAAGTTTACAAATAGTATATTTGCAGTCGCATTTGTTTGTATTGTGGCCTTGATCTCGACAATGAAAGGCAAAGACTCTGGACGAAGCTGCAAAATCTTATGCTCATTTCTGAGGCATGAATAGAGCGTGAAGTTTTTCTTTTCCCCTGGAGATCTTGAGGCTTTATCATCAAGCAATGATTGTCTCAGCTCTATTAACTTCTGTGGGCATCAACCTTGGTCTTTGTGTTTTATTTGTCACATTATATTCTATCCTGGGGAAGCAACCCAGCAATGTCAGGGTTTATGCACCTCGCCTAGTTGACAAAGGTGAAGAAAGGCCCTTCAATTTGGAGAGGTTGTTGCCTTCTGCTGGTTGGTTGAAAAAGGCATGGGAGCCCTCAGAGGACGAGCTCTTGTCCCTTGCAGGCTTGGATGCTGTTGTTTTCATGCGTATCTTCATCTTCAGGTCAGTAAACTTCTCATGCATGCTGTTGTGTTCTGACTATCATTTCCTCTAGTAATCTCTAGTTTCTTGTCTTAGCACACACTCTTTGAGTGTTGTGGCCAATATATTTGAGTGTTGTGGCCTATATAACATATATTAAAGACCTGCATGTTTGTTATGTGCTATACTTGTTTTGTTACTTGGCTAACTGTTTACATATTGTGCAGAAAGGCCTCAAGATCAATATTTGAATGCTTGCTCCCTTTTTAAGTTTATTTGAGCGGAAATTTATGACTTAAGTAGATACGTTATGCATTTTAAACTCATGGTTGTCAATTCTAATGTTTTTTTCACAATATAAATGAGCGTGTGCGTTTGTGTTTGTCTGTGTACGCGTGCATGTATACTTACATAATATATGATACAGTGGACAGCCTCTGGTGATGCTTTTGCTGTGCTGTAAGCACTGTAAGTGTTTTCTTTGTTCCATAAATAATAATTATGTTGATTATGTTAAGTTACTTGAAGCAACTAGGAGACACGATTTCTTAAAGACCAGGAAGTGGGAGTCGGAAATAGTGATAGAGAGAGGTTAAAACGTACTATAATAGTCTTGGATCAATAGTGAGTCCCTCCTTACTTTCTCTTGGATGATGGAATCCAACTCTAGCTTATCTGAGATTGTAAGAACATGGCAATAGTGACAGTCGTCTACTCGTTCACTTCCCTTGAATGTGTCTTCCACTATTCTAGCTATTTTCTAGGGATTCATCTCGCTACTGGTGTACCTGATGACATTCGGTAAATTATCTTCTGAAATGGATGCAAAATTCTCACTTTCTAATGCCTATGAGAGACTTGGAAAACACATGCTTTTGCTGCCGTGCCACAAATGCCAGCGAGGCCCATGTCGGTTTTGAGAATTTTACTGATGTTTTTGCGAACTCCAATCTGTCCTAGATATTTACAGGAGATGTCATTGGAGGTGAAATTTAGGTGGCTACTTGGTGCTTGGCCCGATTTGCCCTAGGTGTTTCCAAAGTTGGAATTCCTCTGTATCTGCCTGGCCCATAAGCCACTTAAGCTCAATTAGGATAGAACTTTTAAGTCTCAAAGTACATAAGAACTCGCAAATAAACTCTCAACCAGTCCGTAGTATGGAAAGGGGTTCCCCCAATGTTATTTTACAGAGAAACAAGAAGTGATGAGCTTTGGAAGCCATTTACATTCTTAAAGAATGTAAAAAATACCGCGTTAAAAACAAGGGAGCTAGTTCATTTGTGCATTTTCCAATTTTAGAATACAAGTATAATAGGTCACCTTTTGGATTCACTAACTATCAAATCAGATTTATAAGCTACATTAGATCTTGGTATGAGTATGTTAGATCTATAGCGTTTTTCTGTAATGTGCATCCATGCATAATTATTTTTGCATAATTGATGTTTTTTTCCATGTTAATGCACATGCATATGCACGCGTACATATTGTTCTTTGATTTCCTACTTATATTGGTGAATAAGAGAAGGGATAGCTTTGATCTGGGTCTGACCATAATTTTCTTTGCATAAATTTCTTGTAAGGATGGGTAGGCAAAACAGGCAGTTGACACTAGAACAGATTTCTTGCTTCTTTGTGTGATTTTCTGTTGCCATTCTTATTCTCAGTGAAGAATTTGTAAACAACTGATTGAGCCACCACTAAAGAAGGACAATTTTTTGCCAGTTGAGTTTATTTAAACAAAGTTTATTTAAACAAACCATGCCCCTGTGCCCCCACCAAGTCATCTAGCAACTCTTTTGTTTAGGCTTACAATAGTCTTCAGCTGGACCAAATGAGTTCTTGAATGATGAGAGTGACATGGCACAATTTGCAAAGAACCAGTTAGAAGTTTTTGTCCAAATACTGCAAACCCAATTCAGAGTATCAGTGAATTCTGTATGAAATTACATCATAAATATAGTTTACAATCCAAAGTTATCAAATGCAGGATGTGGACTTGATGTGGACATGGGTTTGATGTGCTATGTGGCTCAATTTGGGCACATCACCTCCATCACGGTCAATAAATTTAAAAATTACAAAAATATAATAACCCAAAGAATAATATGAATATGTAACTTATGTCATTATAGGCATTTTAATTTTGGTCTCTCATACATCCGCGGAATGAGTTGCTGATAGCTTGATAAAGTGTAACAGAGTCGAGTGTTAAAATGAAAACCGATAGTTCATTGACGTCCAAAATAAAAAAAAGAATACACTCAATTATGAAGTTTTATGATCCATCATGTTCGTGTCCCACATTTGAAGCCACAGTTGTAAAGCTGTTATCATCAATGTCATCATCGCCCATCTACATGTACTTCTTCCTTAGTTTTCTCTGAGTCAGCCTCCTCCTCAATCTCTAGAACCAATGACCTTACTCTCTTTCTTGCAATCTGGTCCAAGGCCTTAGGTCTTCTACGACTCCCATTGCTCGAATGACATCCAACCAAGTGAAGTCCTCATCCTTGGACACTGGCTTTGATAATGGATATATGGTCCATTCAATTGAGCAATCGGGTTAGTCCAAGACAATAGGATTAACATCCATTTGTTTATGGTATCTATCCCTAAGGTGATGATTGCATCCGACATGTACTCAATTATATTATTTTAACTATAACATGTTCCTTCTTTTGCTATGGAGTTGTGATAGAAATAAAAGAAACAAGCAAAGGAGAAAAAAGGTTACTTAAATGCTCAATAGATTTCTGTTATCCTACAATCAATGTTTAGGTGCTTGTGTTGAAGAGATGGATTTGAAAAGTATCCATTGCATGGAGGGGCTGTCATGCTGTATATTCTCCTATCCATGATCTCAAGTATAGGCTGATATCTCAAGTATAGGCTGGTATCTACTTTTATTATTCTTGAGAACATTGATCTTCTCTTTTACCCTAATCCTTGACTCATTTATGTAGCCCATGGTGGGTTTTCCATCACCTTCAACTGAAATTGCAACGTACTCAATCCAATGCATAGTAGCTTCCACCCAAAAATATGTATTTAACACAGTTTGCTCCAATTTTCTCCCATCTAAGTAGTTCACCCTCCTACTTTTAGTCCACTTTTCATGAAAGAACATGCCTCTTAAGGCAACTTTTTTCTTGCATAGACATTGAAGAGGGACCTATGATGTGGCAAATCTAGTCTTGGGTCTCACTATCTCCCTATTCTCCATGTACTTCCTCATCATGCTTGGAAGTAAGGTATAATTATTGATAAAACCAATGATAACCTTAGCTTTGGCAATTGCATTTTTAATCCTAACCATCTTCCCTATGTCCTCAAGCATGAGGTCTAAATACTATGATGCACAAGGAGCCCAAAACATATGCTTCCTCTTCAATGTCAATAAATGCCCTACTGCAGATTAATTGGTTAATTTTCTATGATTATTTCTACCACATGCTCTTCTAGATCTATATCTACAATCTCATCCATCAACCCACACAAGTTAGTAGCATCATGTGCCTTGTCCGATGCATCAGCATATTTAACAAAAGAAGTACCTTACAAACAATTGACCAAAAAATTAGTAATTAACTCTGGATCTTCAATAAGACCGTCCATCAAACCACGATAGTTACCACATACTTCTCCCACCCATCTCTTTGGGATTCAAAATTTTCTTGTTGTCTTTCACAACATTTTTCAAAAGGCTCCTTAAGCTCATAAAATGCATAGCCTTTTTGCCAAGGGTCAAAGTGCTCATCATAACCATGAAGATATCATGATGAACGGTATTGAAGATATCATGATCATAACCTTGAAGATATCATGATGAATGGTCTTGAATGGAATGCCAGCTCAGCCGACTCTATGATTAAGAACCTTTTCCTTTTTTCCTAGTATAGATTTTCATTTATAGTTTGTGTTTGAAAGGTGGCGAAGTATATCACACATAGTAACTTTAATCAAATGTTTTAAGTAACTATATCGATGAGTCTACTCACAAGTTCAAGTTACAATTCTAAAACAATAAAATACGGCTATTACATGTAGTTACCTGAATCACCCACCGAGGTCGCGATTCCTGTTCGGAATCTCGATTCTGCGTTTCCCAAGACAAAACTCGATTCTGGAAGAAAGGATTCACGTTTCCAAGTTTCTAGAAACACGATTCAACTTAGTATATGAATCTTGATTCCTAGAAGCTTGGAATCAAGATTCCATATCGCCAAATTTGTGATTCTTAACTACACAACAATGTGATTCTACATGTACGAGATGTGTATTCCGATTATTTAGGAATTGTGAATCCATGTTGTTTAGAAGCAAGTTCCGTGAATCCATGTTGTTTGGAAGCAAGTTTCACATCATTAAAAAGCGTGGTTCGCAAATGCATTGAACAAATGTTTCGGTCAACATTGAATCAAGTTTTAAATTTGGGGAATATTCAAAATTTTTATTTTCGCTTATCTTCGAATTTTTATCACTGTACTCGAATTCCACAACTCTTGCCAAGCATAAATATTATTAAAAGAAATTGTTACATCAAATTTAATAGTGTTTGGTAAATGTTGTGGGTATTAATGTAATATTGTTTGATATAAGATGGGTACTAAGATACCCTATGGTGTTTTAGGTTAAATTAATCTTTAAATATCAGAAATTGAATTAAAATTGAATAACTCAGTTTTCAAAATTACATTTAATAAAGAAGGAGAATTTCTATTTCATTTACTTATTATATAATTCTAGGGAAGGAGATAGAAGGAGCTCGCTCTTGTTCTCACTAGTTGTATGCCATAGACCAAGTCCAGGGTCTTGGTAGGCGAAGGGTTGTTGGTAGACTGAGTCCATTGTATGGGATTGTTGACAAAGATATCATAACAAGGGTGCCATTGGTAATTGGATTAAATATATGTAGATCATTATTCAATCTTGTAAATAATGGTAAAATTTAAATATATTCTTAATACTTCTCTCATATATCAGAGGGGATTGGTGCACGATTCCTGAATGGGGAGAAT